GCAATATCGACAGCTGAAATATTCTTCTGCCACTGCTTTTTATAACTTTAGAAGTCATATATTAATTTACTTTACAAATTAAGCATTGATTCTTTATAGAAATCGTTAAGCCAATAAAAAGAGCACTCATAGGACACGAAAAAGCAATCGATCGTGGCTTATCAATCGAAGAAAGTTATCAGAAAATTCACAATCTGTTCAGCATATTACGTTCCACTGTCTTTACCCAGTCAAGAAAATAACGTTGCTACAACATTCCTACAAAAAACGTTTTTGTAGATGTTGGGATCAGACTACCCAAGCTTTTGTGGTAATCTGAGTATTTGGAGTCCAAAGATTTAACAAGAAGAGGTTATTTTCTGGAGGAAAATTAGAAGCAGAACCTAAGCTGAAATAATATTTGTATAATCTTTTCAGAAATATACAATAACATGTTCAATTTTCATTGCAGTGAAGTTTGTTTTATGAAGTAATTAAATGTTCTTAGCGCTGTATGAAATGTGTGGATATACTTACTTTATGACGGTCAGCCTAATGTGAGTTCATAGACAAAAGGTCTAGTAGGCAGTTGCTGGTTAATTGTGGGCATGGCCTTTGTCGGTGACTGCTGGCTGTCCTATCTTTCATTGTGTGTATGTGTATGGGTACGTGTGTGTACGCATGTGTAGATCAAACTGTCCGAAATTGTTTTGAACCTCGAGAAACAGTATGCTTCTATTTTTATAACTGTAAGGGAGTTCCAAAATCTACGTTCACATAGAGTTGTGAACTTTTTGATTACAAGGTTTTCATTAGTTAGAAAATGATTTCACGCTGGCTCGCGAAAATCTTCCAGAAATTGCGGGAGTGATTGTTGTTTTCTAAATAGGCCAAAAATAACACGTTGTAGGTTTATAACTACGTCGGCAATAATCTTGTTGTTTATCAAACAAACCTTCTGGTGGAATTTTATTGATTGAAAAATATATATAGAAATTTAATTCTTATATAAACTTCCCACAACGTGTCCATAGCATGCAGTGTTAATGGTATATACGTTTCCTTGTAACATTACATTAACAGAAAATAATACATTGCAGGAAGATATTAAACCTTGTATTCTTCGTCTAAATTAATGATTTTTAATTAAAATTAACACGAAAATAAATGCTATATCTTCTATACATATTGTTGTGTAAGGAAAAAGTATTTTGCCGTTATTTGACCAGCATGGACTTATTCAGTTACATCACTTCGCAAAGGTATCATAACTTTGTAACAATATTACGGAGGAGCGGTCAGTTTGGCGTCAGGAAAATGGTTGGTTGCAACGTTACAGTAACGGTGACACAATATGTGACACCACCCTTCTGAAATATAACGTATATGTAATTTTGAAACAAAGTTCCGCTCGGTGGGCAGCCATCTATAGAAAGAAATTTCTACTTTATCAATTCAGTGACTAATCTTGTGAGCGAAGTTTTAGTCTATTCGAAAATCAATCGTAAAGCATTATTAGGCTGACTCATAAGTAATTTCCGTTTTTGGGAACAAATCCAGTGTCTCATTCTAACTAACCGTTCCTTAATATCATAAAAGTTCATGAAAAATCGGTTTGATACCACAAGGTTCAGCGATGTGGAGAGACAAAATAAATCCTCAAAATCAACCCCAAAATGATAAACTCCATGAAAGAAATGTAATGTCTTAAGTGTGGTGTGATCGTTGTGGTATTATTTATTTAGGCATCTTAAAACGCACTGAGACACTAAATGCACACTTTTACGTCCAGCAGCTTCAACATGTCCATAAAAGTTTGGTCGAAAAGCGTCTTCAATAGGATTCATGTTGTTCGCCTCTATGAGAATGCAAATCCTCATACAACAAGAATAACGCAGAAAAATAATGCTGTAACCCAATCCGCCCTATTCACCTGACTTTGCACCAACCAATTTATCTTTTTCTCGTGAAAAGTAGAGTCAAGAATTCGTCGAAAATTTTTCTCCCATCCAAGGCAGTGAAATTTTACTCAAAATATATCGAACAGCTGTCTGATAAGTAACAACATATCACTGCAAATAATGGTGAATACTGTACATTATTTTTGTGAAGAAATAAAGTTGATAAACAAAAACGGCAATTATTTATGACTCAATCTAATATATAGAAACATATGAGATAACAATATGTATTTTTATATCTCAAGAACAATATTGGGGAAAAATAAATGACAAAGTGGGAAAAGTGTTCGCGTGACGCTTTTCGTTCTTTAGGGCGTCATCAGTCTAAAATTAGACGCGTTTCTAAATTTAGTTCGATGAAGACCCAAAGAAAATGTTATTTATTCTTTAGAAGTCTGTTGAACGACAAAAGGCAGTATATAGGATTTCTTCATTTTGTCATTTATTTTACACACACACACACACATATATGTATATATATATATATATATATATATATATATATATATATATATATTATGAAATGGACAAAGTCCGACAATTATTTTAAGACATTTTTATATTTATACATTCTTTTTATAGATACAAATATTTACGTAAATGCTCTGTTTATAATAAACAGTATTAATAACATTTATCGGCCTGAATGTTCGAGAGATTTTCATAGAAAATATTCATCCTCCGACAGGAATCGAACCTGTATCCTATACGGAACCGTCATTTAGCCGAACGTGCCTTAACCGATTGAGCCACAGAGGATCGTTCGGTTAAAAATAGCAACAAATATTCGCCTTAAGTAATTAGAATAATAGATAAAAATAATAACAATTTCCACAATACCATATAAAATTTAAAAATACCATATAAAATCTATTAACAAATTCAATTAAAACAATAGGTTTAAAAATACAACCCAATCATAATCTCAATGCCCCTTTAAGAAACCATCAACCAAAGAAAAAAACAAACAAATAAACGCCAAAAAGGATCGTAACTACAACATCAATCAGAGTTTTAGCAAATAATAATAGAAAAACAACGGAGCCTGATAAAATTAGACATTGTAGCCAGACAAAAAAACCACAACAAAAAAACAACCAAACCATACACGATTCCAAAAACTTGACATATAACAAACCCCCAACTTTTATCAAAGCAGAGATCCCTTGATAATTAAAATCTAACCCCAGATTACACTTCAATTTCAAAACTATAAATGAGTAAAACATTTCGTTGCTTAGTTATTCCAAACATCGCTTGACGATGAAACAGTCATCCTACACTTAATATTTAATACTGAAATTAAACTTGAATACGGATGATCGGTTTCGAAACATAGTAAATTCTGTGTCGCGATAGAATCATATTTTTTAAATATATATATATATATATATATATATATATATATATATATATATATATATGCATTATCTTCGTTAGACCTGACGTGCTTTAACCTCTCGGCCACGAACAACCTCCTGGTCAAATAAAGCCCGTATAGTGTTTTTGAACACAGATTTTTTTTTCAGATTCTCCAAATATAAAGGGTGCTCCAATAACTTGGACCGATTATAAATGTGAATTAACTTTAAGCGTCTAATGATTTTTTTCTTTTTCATTCAGATTTGGCCGAAATTTGGGCGATATTATTTTTCTCACATAATTGCCATGACGAAAATAACATGATCCAATAGAGAAATAAATAAATTTTCACCAATAACACTAATTTATTTACTGCTGACTTTAATCCGTCTTAATGAAACATCCTTTATATATCTTAACCTAAATAAAGACGATTTTTAGGAATGGATTTTTCATTTATTAATCCGAGATATGGTGCATATTTTTCTAACAAGATTTCTCGGATATTCAGGCCAGTAGAAAGAATGCGATTTATCTATTTATTAATTTTATTTAAATTTTTATTTTTATTTTATTTTATTGATTTATTTTATTATTATAATACTGATAAAATACGTGCGCACATTAAGTATATCATATGCACTGTGGGATATTTTCTCGTGTGGTTAATGATATTTTGTTTAATGCCGGCTGTTTATTTTGTATAATAATTGCTTCTTGTTTTGATGTCACGCTAAGTCATTTCAAATGTTCAGCTTCCCAAAGAATACCAGGAGGCAGACAAAGTAATTCTAACTACCACACAGACACCACATCGGTTCTTGATGTAGTCTGCGAAAATACTTTAACAAAAATAATAAAATATGAACTACAATTAGTTAAAGCCCAACTTCGAACCCAGTGTTCAACAGCTTATCCGAAAATTGGAAAAATACAATAAAAATTTAAACGTGCGTGTGTGTTTGACATTATGGGATATAAAATTACCTTATTTCGTAAGGCTGATCTTTTGACATCGGTAGCTAAAATCAGGATTCGAACCCAAATAAATATAACTTTTAGGTTATACTTAACACTTACGTTCTGACCCCCCAAAAAAAAAACCCCCAAAAAACAAAAAAAAACAAAACAAAACAAAAATCATTATGCAGTGTGTAAAAATATATCATCACCACAGTAAGAAATGGTTTTAGAGACATCATTTCCTGCGATGGTACATGTATCGAGGAAACTCACTAGAATCGACAGGATTCAACCATGCGGGTATTTTCTACATTGAAGATCTTCCTATTCGGATGAAACCTTCCACTCATTTCGCCTTGTACCATACTTAGCTTTATAAATATCAAAAGACAAACAAATTGAAAATTGCCCTGTGCTCTCTGCATAGATCTTTCCTTTCGGAAGACAGTGGAGAAAGCGATTTCGCCGGATGTAGTGAGAATTAAGCGTCCCCGAGTCCCCGCAGTCACACATCCGTCGCTCGCAGGTGAATTTAGCTTTCGCAGTCGCGAGTAGCAACATTGTAAACAATAAATAAAATAAGCGTACTTGTCGAATCTCTCTGAGCGTGAGACCTGTCGTCGAAGGAGGGCAGCTGTCTGGGCACAGGCGATTAATAAAACAGAATGAATCCTCCCAGAAGTGATGTTCTCCCTTGCCCTACCAAATACCTCTATGTGTTTTTCCGCTAGAGTTTCAGAAGCTTTTAAGAGATATCGAGATATCGAGATAGAGAGAGAGAGAGAGAGAGAGAGAGAGAGAGAGGGGGTGAGGAAGAAGGGAAGATAGGGAGATTTTCAAAAAGAAGGAGAGAGGAAGATAGATATGTGTAACCATCGAGAAAGAAAGAGCGAGTTGGCAGTCTGATATGCAAAAAGATTTAGAGAGAGAAAGACAGATGAAAAGAGAGAACATTAATAGAAATATGTAGGGCTTAAAAGAGAGAGAGAGAGAGAGAGAGAGAGAGAGATAGAGAGAGAGAGAATAAATATTAGAGAGAGGGATAGGCTGATATTCATAACGATTCATATAGAAAAACAGAGAGAAAAAGAAAGACGGTCGTAAAAAAGGAGAGCGGAAGATAGATAATTCAATATGGGTAACCATCGAGAGTGAGAGAGATAGAGAAGCAGGAAAAATACGAGCAAAGAGAAAGAGTGCGGGTGTACGTGAGGGAGATAGAAACTATTAAGCATCGAGAAAAAGAGAGAGAGAAGACGAACTAAGATAGGATAGATGACGATAGATTCATATGTATAGCTTGTTTTTAATCCTTTAATCTCAAGCAAGGCATTACAGCCACTAAGCCCAAGAGGTTACTAAGTGCTAGAGAATGTGAGAAAAATATATTATCAAGGAGAAAGGACAATAAAAGAACGAGAATTAAGAAAATAGAAGATAATGATTAACATTGCATTTAAATTTTTAAAGATAAAAGTTGACTGGGAAGCATGAAGCCAGAAGAGTGTTCCATAAGTGAGACGTACGATAGAAGAAACTGTTAGCATAGAACTTACGGTTACATTTAGCCATTACAACTATAAATGAAAGGGGAGAGAGAGAAAGAGAGAGGGCGAGAGAGAGAGAGAAAGAGGGAGACAGGAAGAGAGACAGAGAGAAGATACCTTGGTGTGCGCACTTTTCGAAAAAGAGTGAAACTATACTTCACGTGTCACAGAGAAAAAATTTCGTAGCTCGCTAGGACGTTCTAAGCTCCTTGTTTGACGTGTCGAGTAATAATTTCTTTTTGCAGACCAGTGTAGTAAGTTCGCCCCCCCCCCGTTACAATAACATTACCTCAGACTAAGTTAAGCAGTCATTTCCTACGTTCGCCTCGTACATATAATTCCCTGACTTACGATTTGTGGACATACGGCATTTCGAAATTATCATAAAATCTCTCATTAAAATTGTCATTTTCTTCATCAATCAGTTGCATTTTAGTAGAATTTTAATGCAAGCGTATTTTTATTTAAATTTTTCAAATTATTTTCTTTTGTCCAAATGTCAACAGTAATATGAGACAAAAATAACGGAATTTTATACAATGGAAAAATAGTTCATATTTTTCTTCAATTCATTTTCAATAGAAAATGAATTGAAGAAAATATAAACTGTATGAGAACTGAGTAAATACATTGTTACGGAGTAACCAATTTTATAACAATTCCGTGATAAAAATAATCGTGAATGGCTCTGTGGAATTGCGAGGTAAATCTGGCAATGATTATTGACATTTTATTCATGTATATGAACGATAACTGGATCTTATTTTATGCGCCGTGTCACTTTAGGACATTGCTGATCATAGCTCTCCACAACTTCCTCTCCTTTGTAGCGCAAAGCAATTTTCATTCTTTTACCCCCACTATCAGTCTAAGCTCTATCATTTATTTGCACAAGCTCATTTGGTAAGTTTTTCGATGTTCCTCTTGTCCCATTTGCTTTGAATGTATCCTTCGAGCGTCAATTTTTTCCAAGCGCTCTTTCTTAGTTGTGTTCCCCAGAAATTTATAATCTCTTTCTGATTCTACGTATAAGTATTTTTGTTCTCATTTTCCTTAAAACTTCCTCGCTGTTCACATGTTCTGACCATAGTATTCTATTCTCATTATTCTTCTGTAGAACCCGATCTCTGTTGCCTTAAGTCTCCTCTTTATCTCTGAGGAAATCGTCCAGCATGCACTTTCATATATGACGACTGATATTACGTAATAGTTCAATACTCTTTTCTTTGTTTCTTTCTCTCTTTTTTTTTTTTTTACTTTGTCTTGGAGGTTTTGCAGTTTTTCTTCTGAGTCTATTATGAACAAAATCCCCTTCACAGATCTTATATTTTAAGAATATTGTCGCGAAATTATTCGAACGTTTGTGCTAATCCTAATTGTCACAGTCACAGCGTTCACCCCATTATACCCACCTCCTATTCCGGTGGCTGCTGTACTTGGTAATATCCTGAGAATTTTGAAAAAGAACTATTATTCAATCCACGAATATGTTGTATTATGTTTTTGCTGGGTTATTTATCATTAACTTATTACGGTTGCACGACTTCTGCTCATTCTGCTGCATCCGAAGAGTTGAATTTTCCTGCCTTACACAGAGACTGAACTCGCAATCACGAAATAATAGCATAGACTTAACCAATTTTTACATCCACTCGGCCACTGACTGGAATTTAAAGTTTTAAATCTTAAGTCTTTAATTTATTGATTACCACCCCTATATAATGTGTGATTCCTACAAATGAAGTTATCAGACCGTAACTGTGGACTGTATATGTGGAAGGATTAACTGAAAATTCTCAGAAAGTCGCCAAATGTGACAGCCAAGAGGAAAATACTTAAATGTGTCCAGTTCATGACAGTAAATGACATTTGTCCGAAAAATGGCTCCACCGAAAGCGTTAAATCCAGCCTTAATTTCCTGAAATGGTTCACTTTGTTACTGAAAAATTAAAAAAGTAAGAAAATTATAGGGAGATAACTTATATATCTGAATATTTTTTCTCAAGTAAGTTTTCTTAAAACCTACACTCATTAAATTGATTGTTGCTTATTTAGGAAAATGAACAAATGATATGTTGGTTTGTTTAAAAGGATGAATTAATGTCGAAATCAGTTAAATCCTTGAACTTATTTGCCGGGTAACAAAAGTAAAATATAAACGGAAAATGATTAAAATGTAGATAATTAAAATAAATAATTAAAAAGAACGATATAAATTAATATAATATTTAATTCATTTACGGATATATTTGTTATGAATAATCAAGAGTTGTCTCTCCTTATTTTGTCACTCTCCTCTTTGAGAGAGCTATTTCTGTTTACTGGGAATATAAAAGGACACTATACGCGAACCTTGTATTCTCAGTTGAATAAAGCTTTCTTAAAACCTACACCTATGTACTTTTGTGATTACAATATTTTTGATAGAAAAAAATATTCAAATGGACTTTTTTTTCATCATTTTTTTCAACTTCTTTTTAAAAAAAATAATTCTAGAATAAAGCCAAACTGTTATGTCTCATTATTATATTAATGGAGATTGTTAGGGTTTTATTCATTTAATAATGTTGCTTAATATTTTGTTTTTATTCTAGAAATATTCAAATACAAGTAAAAAATGACGGAAACTAAACGCATAGAATCCATTAATGACGCACACAATCTTAAGATCAAATATGCAGATGATACAGTGTTGATAGCAGAAACAAAACAGAAACGAGAAGAATTACAGAATGTAGTGAAGGAAAGTGTGTAGAATGGGGGAAACATTAATTGACAGAAAACAAAATGCACCGGACTTATTCAACCTATACCATGAGGTGATACTGAGACAGTTGAAAGTCGTACGAGGATTAATTATTGGCGGGCACAATCTTAACATCATAAGCTATGGAGATGGCACCGTTGATAGCAGACCTAAAAAGGAAACGACAAGAACTCCTATAGAATGTAATCAATGAAAACAAAAAGAAAGGACTAAACATCAATTGCAAGAAGTCAGAATGCATGGTTGTTAGCAAAAGGAACAGTCCAACGTGCAAATTGTAAATTGCAACTACAAAATTCAAACATGAACCACAATTTAAACATCTGTGATATGTTTTAACAGAGGTCAGAAAAGAAGGCTTGGAAAATTTGATATTCACCGGACATATTGAACGCAAGATGGACATAGGAAAGCAGCGCATGGTCAATCTAGTAAGCTTGAGTAAAAAGATGTCTGAAGAAACTAATCCGTTTGAAGGTTATTTAAAGCAAGGAAATATTTTATATTGTAAGTTTTTTTTTTTTAGATAATAATAATTTAGTTTGAGGAGAATATGTGGATTCATACATTTCCCAAGGGTATTTGCTCGTATGTGAAGATGACGAACCCAACTGGAATTGGAACTTGGCCCGGGGATTTGAAATTCTGAGTCATTATCTATCACACTACCCTCACATACAAGATTTCAGCACCTGATAGCGGTTACCCATCTTGGTACTAACCAGATTCGACGTTGCTTAACTTCGGTGATCGTACGGGAACCTGTGTTTCAACGTGATGTTACCGTAAGTGGAACAAAGTTTAGAGGACATACAATTGTGGAGAGCCATGATCACCACTGTCCTGGTGGGACATGACACTTAGAAAAAGATTATGTGAATGAAAATTTCGGTGATAAATTTATGGAGAAAAAGATATTATAGTCAGTAAAAAACAAACAGATTATCGGGTGTAATTTTAAAATGATGCACAATTAAAAAAACAAAAAAACATTGTGCAGATATAAAAGTTATCTCCCTTTAATTTTCTAACGCTTGGTTTTTTTCCCTGAAGTGAACTATTCGACGAAATGAATATTCGATTTATCGTTTTCAGTGAAACTAGTTTTCAGGCAAATGAGATTCGATGTTGTGATCACCTCCCCGTTGGAATGAATCAGTGAATAGTAATGAGCCATTACGCCATAAACTTTATATGTCAGCCACTGTTCAGTCAATTAATATCACATTTTGTATGGCACATCCAATAATTTAACACAAGTTCTCTAGTTTTCATTACTTAGTGGTAATGGCCAAACAAACTAGCCTCGTTAACTCATTACCACACACAGACTCGGCTCATTAATTGTGACTTGATTGAGTCGCATCGTTAGCAATGGTAACACCGACGCTTCTTCGGAGGATCATTTCTTTTCATTTTCATGCGATTGTAGACTTACAGCCGTATCACGTTAAAACACCGTTTCTCACCGAAGTTAAGCTACGTCGAACTAATACAAAATATAATAATTAATATTAAAAAAGAACAATACAACACTACGTATTGTTATGGAGTGATTTCACAGTGGAGACTTGTATTTGTACTAAGTCGGTCCTAAAATAGGTTCGACGTACAAAACGTTCGGAACTTCATATAATAAGTATAACGCAGAGAAATCTAGTTGTAGTCGCTGATACTTTTAGTATCCGACTAACGGTCGTCCGGCATCGACTGACTGACCGACCCCCTCAGCGACTGCTCGTTACTATTACTACTCCTACTTATTATAGGTGGGAGAGTCTATTAACTATAGAATAGGTGTGTTCCACTATAACACATATACTGTTAACAACAACTGTAATAATAATAATAATAATAATAATAATAATAATAATAATAATAAACATTGGCTACGTAGCGCAGGGTAAAATGCTGAAACTAAAGGTTTTATTCTTGTTGCACAAGACCAATGGTTACCAAGCACACATACTGAAAATTGTGTCACTCCAAAATGTAGATACTATGATAAATATCAAGAAACAATTGACTATCTTGTATCAGGTTGCGCGGTATTGAAACCCACCGACAGAGTGGGTTAAACTTGCAACGCTTACGAAAAGGAAACTGCAAGAAATTGGTATGAACACCACCCAGTCCCGGTTACAGAGGTAAGACCTATAACAATTTTATGGAACTTTACAATACACGTAGACAGAACAATCAAAACTAATCGCCCCTGACATAATCATTAGAAACTACAAAGACAAAATGTGTCTCCTTATTGACATGGCAGTCTCTGTAGACTGCAATGTATCTTTGAAGATCTTTAAAAGACTATGAAAATACAAGGAATTTGAAATCGAAATCTCAAAAATGTGGCACATGATGACATTAACAATTCCAGTTATAGCTGGAGCCCTCGGATTGATTGGAAAAAAAGATTCCAATAGACTCATTGAAGGAATCCCTGGTAGCCCATGTCTTAAAGAAATACAAAAAAAATTGTACTCACAAGTACAGACCACACCTTACGAAGGGCTTTATCTATGTAAAAGATGTGCTATTTTTTTTCAAAACTGCTCAGTATAAAACGTCATGCTTCCATTTCTGACCTTAGATCTCTGGTCAGGACCCGGAAAGAAATGAGGATACACCAGAAACCAAAGGAAATGAAACAATAATAATAAAGGTAGGAAATTTAAAGTAAAGTACCAGTTCGTTGGAAGGCTTACGGCTACATTACGGTTAAGCAATACTGAGCCTGGTCATTACCTAGATGGGTGACTGTTTGGGGATACCAGATGCTGTAAGCTTGGGTGTGTGGGCCGTGTAATGGATAACGACATGGAATATGAAATCGAAGAGCCGAGTTCCATTTCCGTTCAAGTTTGTTATATTCACTTACGCATTTGGGAAAGTTAAGAATCCACGTCATCTCCCCACCCCCGCTTTGAGTTAAATAGTAGGACTTGTGTCAGAAAATCATTATCATCTTAAACAAAATATTACAATCCAAAAATATCGTTTTTGCTTTAAATAAACTGCAGGAGGTTGATAAGCCGTAAAAAACAAACCAGTCAACCAAAACTGTATAATTTCATGTAAAACCACTTGCTGGTGCGCGTTAGCATAAATCCTATCAATTACATTAATTCCTAAGCTTACGTAACCTCATTAGCATATGCATTTTACTGAAGATTAACGCAAATTCTTTCTTTCTTTCCTTTTTTTTTTTTTTTGCTTATCGCTGAGCGCGTGCGTCCTTGCATCTGTCATCTGATTAAAGAACACCAAATTGAGCAGGCGATAGAAGCGATTGCCTTCGTGTGACAATCAAAATTTAATCGAATGCCTGATCAGGCCTCGGAAAGTAGTGACTTGCACAGTGTGTGCATGTGGTGCTGAGAAGTGATGCGAAAACACTGCATTGTCTAGAGTCGTTAACTGTTTGCAGTTCAGCAGATACAAGTTAATGAGACTAGCTGGTTTGATCGTGGAGTGGGTAGGTGCGTTCCAGAAGAGAAGACATATGATGACCTTTAGGGAGAGAAAGACGACTGGAAATGCATGAGGAAATTAGTCCTGGAAAAGAGAGATTCGACAAGTTAGAATGAGTTGTTGGAAATTGAGAAACAGGGCTATTGAAGCAGAAAGGAAGAAAGAAATAGATAAAGTGAAGAAATGTAAAGAACAGCAAACAGATAGAAAATGGAACTTGTGTAAGCAAGAAGTCAAAAACGAAAGACGAGTCATATAAAAATGATAAATTTAAATTAAAAGGAAGTGAAACTGAAAAGAGGGGATATTAAGGTGAAAAAATAAATTCTTGAGAGATAAAGGAGAAGTAGAAATTAAGGGAAGAAGAAAGGACAGAAGAAAAAAGAAGCAGAAAGAAAGAAAGAAAGAAAGAAAGAAAGGGTAGAAACAAGCAAGAAAAGGAAG